ACGAACCCAGTGGAACCTACTGAGGGAACTCACATAGTCACAGTAGACGTGCGATTTAAACATCGGTACAGGTTCACCTGTGTCTATAGGAGACCGAGGGCGGTTCTCACGTCAGTGAAATTACTACTACAACACGCCCAGGCAAGAAGTCGGTATATTGTCCTTGGGGACTTAAATGCTCGACACACCTCCTGGCTGTGTGGTAGTAACAACCCATTGGGCACGTACATCACAAAGACCAGGCTCAACGTCTTCCATCCGGGTGTTCACACCTTCAGGCATGCAGCCCGACCTGAGTGGACCTCTACGCTAGATCTGCTACTCACCAGGGATCTGCACACCATCACGGATTGCCACGCACTATCGTATGGACCCTCAGATCACCGGCCGGTGCTATACACATTTGAGGGCACACCCGCCACTCCACCCGCGAGCAAATATCTGCTTCATAAAGCCGATTGGAAGAGATACAGATCTTGCGTTGAGGAAACACTACCAGCAGTTACACCATGCAGAACCCGAGATGAGGTGGATAATGCTGTAAATGTCATCACCACCATCATCCAAGCCTCAGCCAAACGGAACATTCCCAAGTTTGCTCCACAGCCCAACGCCATCAGAAGACCTCCACGGCACATCCTAGTTCTGATCAGACAGCGAAACAACCTAAGGAACGTTTTCCAGCGCACTCGTAACTACAGCTTAAAACCGGCCATCAATGCGATGACCCGGCAGATAGCAAGACTCATGAGCGACTGGAAAACATCACTCTGGCACGAGCAGTTACGAAGGACTCATGACGATTACCGTCAGTTCTGGCGACTTGTCAGAACCTTCGTTAGTAAGAAAAGAAGCGTGCATCTGACATCAGGAGACGCGCTACTAACAACTGGGGAACAGGCTGAACACCTGGCGAAAAGTTATGCAGCAAGGGATGCAGAGCGAACTAGAAGCTCCCCACCGGTGCAGCAGAGATCATCACCTGGACTCACTGAGAAGCCCATATTCTGCAATTTTAACCAGCTTGAGTCTGTACTACGACGTATCAAAGGAAACAAGGCGTCGGGACATGATGATATCCCGTATGTTCTACTGAAGATGCTCCCAAGGAAGGGTAAAGCCTTCCTTCTGAACATCTTTAATTCATGCTTGCGGATATCTTACTTCCCTACAGTCTGGAAACATGCCATCGTAGTGCCACTACTGAAGCCGGGGAAGAAAGGAGACATGACTGACCACTATCGCCCGATCAGCCTCCTCCCGCACGTCAGCAAAGTCTTTGAGCGATTGATTCATTATCATCTCCTGAGTCACTGCAAGGAAGAGCACGTTATACCACCAGAGCAAACCGGTTTCCAACGCGGAGTCGCCTGTGAACATCATCTGGCTAAACTTCAGGCACACACCATAGAGCAGATGAATCACAACAAAGCTACGGCACTCATCTCGTTGGACTGCAGCCAGGCCTTTGACTGCGTGTCTCACGCGCTGTTACTTCGAAGACTGGAAGAGTACAAATTCCCAGCCCCGCTATGCCGTCTGGTCAGAAGCTACCTCAGTGGAAGAACTTTCGTCGTAAGAGTTGGTAATGACTATTCGAACCCAGTCGATACAACGTGTGGAGTACCTCAAGGGTCTGTGTTGGGGCCATTACTGTTCGTCGTTTTCACGGCGCCAGTAGTGGCACTTAAACATCCAGAAGCGGTGGTAGCAGCCTATGCTGACGATATCGCAGTCTATGCATCCAGCCTTAACGCAGAGAGAGCTCTCATGAAAGCACAGAATGCCACCGATACCATCGTCAAGGAGCTTGAGAAGAACGGCATACAGGTAAATCCTAATAAGACCGATGCCATAGTGATGTCATTTCAGCAAGGAAAGAAGCCCCTGCCCACTCACTTCACCATTGGTGGAGTGGACCAGCGGATCTCCAACTCAGTCCTCTACCTAGGCGTGACTCTGGATAGGCACCTCACCTTTACTAGTCACGTCAACCAGAGGCTCAAGCTGGCTCGGAAAAAGGAGTATAGGCTCTACCATCTGCTAAAGTCGCCGCAGCTCTCGTTGAGACTAAAACTGCAAATCTACAAGGCGGTCATCAGGCCTACGCTGCTCTATGGTGCACCGTTGCTCCGCCACCTGTATAAGTCCACGCTCAAGAAACTCCAGAGTTATCAAAACTCCATCCTTCGGCGAATAGTCAGAGGTACCACCCTGCAAAGGGCAAAGAATGTAAAGATCCGAGAGGAGCTTCAGCTCCCATCGGTGCCTGAGTTCATAGGCCGAAGACACGTCAAATTTTTCGATGGGCTGAAGGTCTGTGCTAACCCGCTTTTCCAGGAAATAGTACCGCCGTCCAGGCCTGGGAGGTGGCAAGGTAAAGTCCCCTTGGTTGATGTTCTCGCCGAGGGAAGGGGTTTGGACTCAGTAGTTCACACCCACTAACAATAATATAAATACTAAATTAATGCAGGGCGGTCCCTCCACGCCCAGTGGTATAATAAAAGGCCTTTGGCCACAGATGCAAAGAACGCATACAGCGTGCAGAGCCCTCTTAACTTAAAATGCCCTTGGGCAATAAAAGGAAAGTTGAAAATTTATGTATATATACATTTATATACATACTGAATTTATTCAAGAAATTCCTGGGGGATAGGAAAAAAAAAAAAAAAAAAAAAAAAAAAAAAAAAAAAAAAAAAAAAAATGGAATTTCGTAACCCAGAAAACGTAAGTTATTATTTATTTAATTAACATCATTGTTAACTTTCACTTACCTATATATGAAATACATAGTAAGAAAAAGTACTGCGATCGTGAAGATTATCGAATCTGAGTTTTCAATTAAAATGCATGTTTTGAGATCCCCTTAGTATAAAATAACCAAGTCCCACGAAATGGTATTTGCGTGTGTGAACAGTCAAGCTGAAAACGAAAAGTTGTACGGAACTGAAATTGCATATTTACTGTTTTTTAATGCCTGAGATGTCATAGCAACTTTTTTGTAAAAATCGGCTAAACGGAAGTACCACTTTATATCGATTTTACAAATTTTAGAATTTTCTTAAACTGGCTATATCGATTTTGATTAAATTTATTATACCAATATAAAATTAAGCCGTTATTAACATAAGATAGATCTCATCCTCATTAATGTTCCCTAACAGAGTTCAAATGACTAATTTTCAAAATGTATTTTTTTTTTTTATTTGAAGTAACAATACATTTCACATTGGAAACTCATATAAAAATGATTAAATATAATTATTGAAGATTGTGGATGGTAAGAAAATTGATTGGCAATTAACGAAGAAATAAGGGTTGGAAGCAATAAGGAAACATCCGAGAGCGACCGATCTTTTCCGATTCTCTCTCTATATAGATACTCTATTAGTCCGTGGTACAGACCCCTTTTTATCGTATTATAAACATCTGCGTGGAACTATGTAAATAGTTTCATCTAACTGCAACCTCCAACTATTTTATTGGGGTGTTTTCAATCTGGAGGGGGACAAGTCTATTTGTCTATTTAATTAGGTACTAAAAACTCGTAAATACCCATTTTTTTCTACTTGGTTCGTAAGATAATGTGATCACAAAATCGAGAAAAAGGGTGGCCTTCATAAATATTTAGCCGTTTGGTGTAACCTACATCCCTAAATTTTCAAAATAATGAAGTTATAAAGGACAGACGGCAGAATATTTTTGTAGCCCACCTTTTTTATCGATTTTATCTTACGATCCACATAGAAAGCAAATGGGTATTTACGAGTTTTTAGTACCTAATTAAATAGACGAAGATTGCCCCCCTTCCTCCAGAAAACGCCCCAATTCCATAAGTTTTCGTAAATAAAATAATTGTAGGTTACGATTAGATGAAACTATTTAAGAAGTTTCAGGTGGACGTTAATAATTCAATAAAAACCGGTCTGTACTACGACTGTTCATACTGTTAGTTTAATTTTATATATCACCTAATAATATACAATATTTACTAGCGTTGTCATTCTTTCGATGATTTACGTGATAAATATTTCAGATAAATCTCGGAATTTTTCCAAAAGATCTTCTGTTCCTGACAATCATTAGTATTGTTTGGTACTAAGCAGATTCGTAAAAAGAAATTGAAAGTGAATTAATCTTATAATAGTGGGTAAATGGTTGACTGTCGTGAACAATGAAAAGAAGAATAGTTGGGGCGATCAGTCAAATATGAAGGCAAAAATAAATGATAATATTTATTTTGACATTTGCCGACGTTTCGACCTGAAGTTTTCTTTCTTTTCTCTGTTTTAACTCTTTATATATTAGACGTTGTCTGTACATTTTGATAGACTTAACAATATCTCAATTTTCTATCTAACTATTCTTTTGGCAATATTTTACTATTTATTTTCATTTCTTATATAACTTTATATTCCTTTTTTCTGTTTTACATTTTATTCTAAGATTCCCATTTTAATACTTATGTCATCTTTTTTGAATATGTTTACTTCATCATTCCACCCTTTGTAACGGTTATTATTATTTATCTCTTAGTTCTTACTGTTGTCATTGTTCTAACAACTTCATTTTACTTTACCTGATATCTGATTTTATCTTGTTATCTGATTCTTTTCTTAGCCCTGATGAAGGCCTGAACTTCAGGTCGAAACGTCGGCAAATGTCAAAATAAATATTATCATTTATTTTTGCCTTCTTATTTGACTGATCACCCCAACTATTCTTCTGTTCATAATCTTATAATAATTTCTGTGGCCCACCAAGATATTTCCTCCCTCAATTATTACATTAGCTAAAACCTTTGTTAATCTGCTCGGGGAATGATTTCTTAGTAATTTTTGCATATAATTTAGATGTAATTTGAATGTGAAATTGTTACTCTTAAAAAACAGATCGCTGATTAACCGATTTTCACTGGCTTTAATTATATCACCTCATATTAGCACACCAACAGATAATATCAACTAATTCTTGCGTTGATACATATGATTAGCACTCACCGTCTTTTGATTTTCCTCTGCCTTGAGGAGCTCTTCCTCCAGCCATGCCCACTGGCCACCTGGGTCTCCTCCATCCTCTCTCGTCCACAGATTGGTGTTGAGGACAACCACCTTCAGCATGCGTTTCTTCTGCTCGATGCAATAGTAGCCACCTGTGTACAAAAACCATGGTGACATTTCTGGAAAATTCTATTGATTTAAAAATAAATTATTAATTAATATGCTGTGTTAAACGTTATTAAAAAAAAAAAATGTTCTTTTATATATACGTACAAAAATAAAATTCATGTAGTACTGCTAAAGAAACATGAATAGAGGAAATTATATAGTAACAGAAAGAGCTGTGTCTTCTTATACTACATCGGCCACGCCCTTCTATCAGCCCTCTTCTCACTTCCATATGAATTGCATCCGTATGTGTTGCTAGCAACTGTTAATTTTTTTATTTTAATGATATTTACACTGTATTGCATAGAAAATACAATAAGTAAATGTGACATTGGTAACATGACATGTACAACATGAAGAGAAACTACCCATTGGTAGAACTCAAATTAAAGTTCTATATTAGAAGGTCACGAGGCCCTCTTCTTTTCAGACGCCTCGGAGGGTTATCAGGGATCGAGGATGAAGCAAGGTTTGAAACGAGAGGGTTCGGATGGTTTTGCAGTTTGTTATGGAAGGATAGGTATCTGGATTGGGCCAAATCGGAAACATATGGAACATTAAGGTCTTTATGGATGATTTTATTTGTGACAAAGTAAGGAGCGTTGAGGATTTTACGAAGGATTTTGGATTGTATGGAGTGGATACGAGAGGAATTCGATGGTTTAGTGGAGCCCCAAAGCTCAATTCCATAAGTCCAAATAGGTCTTACTATTGTCATATATATGTATATATGAGTCGTTTGTAATTGATTGAAAGCTTGGAGCGTTTGTCTACTAAGTGTGCAGTAGTCGAAAACGTCGGGCGGTTTCTAGTCGTTTCAGTCTGGTATGGGGGTTCCAAGTGAGTCGTTTGTCAAGGTGGAGTCCTAAGTATGGGATTTGTTCGACAGGAATAAGTGGGCTATTGTTGAAGGATACTGTAGGACAGGAAGTCATATGTTTACGAAGAAAAGTGAAGGTAATTTGATGGGATTTATTGCAATTTTTTTTTAATCCTCCAGTTTTGACACCATTTTTCAAGACTTGTGATGTGTGATTGAAGAGTTTGGAATGCAATAGATGGATCGTTATTAACTGACAGGGTACACGTGTCATCGGCATAGGCAACAGTTAATTTAAAAAACAAATCTGGTGTGTCCACTTAAACGACTTACATAACCTATTTTTAACCATTTTTCTTTTCTTTATAACTTTTTTTCCTGATTTTTTTCAGGAATTAAATCCATGCACGGAAATTAAGAAGACAATTATTAGACCATTATAGGAAAGTTTTACCAAATCGTTAGTGCCGTTTTCGCGTCACAGTCTATAGAAAAACATTTTTTTCATTTATTTCGCATCACCTATTGCACATGGAGTACTGAGTTTCTGTCACAGGCATCAGTAGTCAAAACCCTACAAAATACTAAAAGAAGCAAAAAAAAATCGGTTCACTAGTTCCCGAGAAAATCTTGGTACAGATCCGTCAAAACCGCATATCGAAAATTTAAGTATTGGTAGGAATGGAAATAACAGTGTTCCTAAAAAAAAGTAGCTGCATTGTCCTAAAATGGAGTTCAAACATGACGAATGTTCTATTTCGGAATGTATAGCTCCAAAATGTATCTTTTTCGGAAATTTGAGGTGCAAAAATGAAGTAAAAAGTTATCTTTGTTTCGGTACCGTTAGAACAAAACCAATGAACATAAACTAATCATGTAGTAAATGGTTATCTAACCATTTAGTACATCATTTATATGAACTAATAAATCATATTTAGAAACTAAATAATTAATCTAGTTTATATTGAATATTTAATAGTTGACCGTTGCATTATAAAGGAAGGAGATGGTCCGGACCATCTCCTTCCTTTAATCTAGTTTACATTGCACATCTGAAGGAAATGAAAAGCAGTTTGAAGTTTGATGAAAGTTAGGAAATATGCTAAAAAAGAAACGCAGTCAAGAGGTTCTGTTTAGAAATTTCTTAGAAGAAGAAACAAACTAAAAAGGATTCGTCAAAAGACTCAGTAATGAAGTAAAAACATTCATTGGTTCTAGTGCTAGAGAAGTGGACAAAGGACCACAGATTAATTAATCACGCAATTAATCAAATGGTATAAGGTTTTTGTTTCTTAGGAATGGGAATAGATAAGAAGAAGTGCTAGTAAATTTAACCGAACACATATAATAATCAGGAATAGGAATAATAGTCAGAGATATGTTTGTATCTAAGAAAACCAAGCAATCTAATAAAACAGTTCAACAAGGCGCTCTTAATCTGTCGCCAAAAAGTAGCCATAAGCCATATACCATGAACGATTTGGGGTTTAGTACCTTGTTTAAAAGTACTTTTTCAAGGCCAGTGGTTGTCTGGGAAGGTTATTTTATCAGGATTATTTAATTAATAGTGCCTACTATATAGAGGCTTTTATTGTACCCCAGGAGGATCGCCCGACTCCACGGTCAATGCACGGCTGATGAAAAATTACTTAACATCAGCTGGGCTTGTGCCTGGCAGCCTAACTGACTGGGCTACCTCTAGTGTTTCCCAAAATCGGACTTGGTCTTGCAAAGTGCAAGACCAAGACCAAGGCCGCCTAACTGTTGCAAGACCAAGACCAGGACTGGTAAAAAAAATCGATTTCTTTAATAAAAGTTAAGGCAAGATAGTCACTAATACTTGACAATCTTAGTTACTATACGTTAATAATTGGTATAACCAATATACTGTTGCATTTAACTCCTATAATATTTCATTCGGGCTTAGTTAGGTTTCTCCTATCTAAAAAATTACAGAAATATCTCTATACTACTAAACTAATACGTAACTGCGAGACTCTTGCGCAAGACCAAGACCATAACCAAGGCTGAGTTTGCAAGACCAAGACTCGTTCTCGCATTTGGGCAACACTAGCTACGTCACCATATACATGAAAAACATATAGGGATAAAGTATAGGGTGGGAGAGGTGGAAATAAAAAAAAGGAGTTGCTGATGGTTTTTAGAAATCTGTCAATCTTTGTCTCTCTCTCTCTCTCTCTCTCTCTCTCTCTCTCTATATATATATATATATATATATATATATGTGTATATATATATATATATATATATATATATATATATATATATATATATATATATATATATTTATATATAAAATTATTGTTAACATATATAACATACATTTAGTTACTAATTAATCACGAGGCTATTAACCTGTCCCTCTTTGATAAATTGATTCTAGTATTAAATACATCATCTGTCATGAGACCACCCTGATATCTCAAGGGACAAACGTTAAGCCCTACCCTCATGGAGGCAGATGTGGGAGGAAACTTCAGGAATAAATTATCATTTATACCTCCTAAGTGCATATTATTCAATGTGTTTCAGTTCATTTTAAAGTAATTCAAGTTAAAAGCATTAGCTTTGTTCTGGTGGTCAAAGAGCCCATAAAATTCAATGAAATAAAACTAAATAATGTAATTTACAAAAACACATCTAAAAGAAGCAGCAATAGAATATGAGGAAGATACTGATAAGGTGTTGGATGAGAGATCTCCTTCTTTAAACAACCTATGTAATTTAATTGATAATAACTTTCCGACATTCTTCGATCGAAAAGCCTTTTTTTTCGAAAGAATAAAAAGTTGAAACCACCAAATCTTCGGCCTCATTCACAAAGAATCCTCTGGCTTTCAATCCGAGTGCAGTGGCGGAGAGAGAAGAGCAGAGATCGCCTGGCGATCTATCTTGCTATCCACATATGGGTATCTACATCATATATTGTATGATAAATATTGTAAATATCAAGGAACGAGTTCCATAAGAATTATTTTTTTTTAACTTTAAATGTTAATTGGATATATTTTTAGTTTTAAGATGTCGAAGTTTCTTACATAAAAATATAATTGAAACGAACTATTTGTTTCAGAGTTACAAGATTTTGAACTTAGTTCACGTGCTCCCTTTCAAGTTCAATATTCTTTGTTTTGCTATCTCCTTCTGGAACTCCTTTACCATCTCCATACGTCAAACCATGTCCACAAATTCCTTCAAATAATTCCTAATCTACCACCGACTACAATTTCAAGCTTCAGCAAGCTTGTAAGAATTTTTAGGTTTCGTTATTAGGCTGATCACCGACAGTTAATTTATATGAGCCATTTTATTTGTAGTTATTCATTTTTTTCTCTCTCAGTATTTCCTGTATATATTTGCATTTTCCTTCTTCTTTTTTGTATTGATTTGTATTTTTTGTATATATTTGTATTTTCCTTAGTATTTTTATTTATTTATTTATATTTTCCTTGGAATTTAAGGGGACTTCAGTCCCAGAATAAAGGGTATGTTTCATTCATTCCTTCATTTCATTTCATTCGTCTCAGGTGGAGAGATGTGGCAGAAAGTAAGGCAGACCGTTATCTAACAGAGCAGGAACCGATGATAATGGAGGAGTTATTAAGAAAATATCCTTAAATAAAAAAAAGTACTTTTTATGCTTACCACCATATAGGTTAAGCGGTAAATTGGTTACACGATGCCCTTAGAAAGGAAATCCGATATTAACTATAACTCAGCCTAGGATATCACATCATAGCGATATCTACCTTCCTTAACCATATTTAATATATAAATAATACATTTTTAAATAAATCGGTTCTATTCTGGATCTAATAGACAGATAAAGTGGAAAGCCATAAACTTATCAAAACCAATTGTAATAATTTGCAATGCTTTAAAATTTTCACAGTTGAGCAATCATAAAAAAATTAAATCTCTTTTCATGTATTCTTCAATTAAAAATAAAATGAAAATAAGAAATCTGTGACTGAAGCTCTGCTACTCACGCTAATTATATCGACAGCCACGCTGCAAAATATCGTAAGAACAAAAACTAAAAATTTTCAAGAGATAAAAAACATGTAACTTTTGTTCTCTGAGCATTAAATTTTCATTTTAATTTCTTTTGCAGGCCTAAGATAAAATGTAATGCTCTATGTA